ACATTAGCACAAACTAAACTATGTAAATTTTGAGATCTCAATTTCGAGCATTATATATCTAAGAATGTATGAGCAGGGTTGTAAACGAGTCAAGTCGAGCTCGAATATTATCGAGTTTTACAGAACTCGAAAACTCGCTAACTTAAAATTGTGAAACTCGACTTGAACTCGAACCTTAAGTATATATAAAATATTATATTTTAAAAAAATAAACATACAAATACTAATATTATTAATAATTTAATTTTTAAAAATCTAAAATTATAGTAATACATTATTTCTTTAGTTCGTTTAAAATTTGAGTCGAGTTTGAGCTCGAGTAGAATCTATTCAATTCGAGTGTTGATCGATCTTTGACCGAGTCAATTTCGAGTAGTTCGCAATCTGTCTCGTATCATTTACAACCTTATGTACGAGCTTTAAATGTCAAATGGTTAAGAGTGTTTAAACAAATATTATCTTATATTTCTATGAATTAATTTTTAATAAAGAATTACATGATTACTACATTCAAAGTAGGGATGACAACGGCTGGGTATTGGTCTCCCGTCCCAGTCTTCGTCCCCGTTTAAAAAACCCGTACTCGTCCCCGTTTAAAAAATCGTTGGGATTTAAACGGGGATCCCCATCGGGTAATCGGGGAAAATCGCTGGGAAACAGGTATCTCTGTTTAGCATAAATGGGTATCGGGCCGGGTATATATATATTTAAATGAAATATATAAATATTATATATATATATATTTTAATTTAAATTAAATTTATTAATATTATATATATATATATATAATTATTATTTTTTTATATTTATCAGGCCGGGTAATCGGGGCGGGGATTACTAAACCCGTCCCCGTTTAGCATAAATGATTTTTCTCCGTCCCCGTTTATCATCCCTGAACCCGACCCGTTTAATTCGGTTTTCGATTTTCCCCGTCAGATTCGAGTTTTTCTGCCATCCCTAATTAAAAGTGACAACATATTTAAAAAAATGTTACAAAATTCAATTATTATTTTATTATATTAATTAAAGTATAAATTTAGAACCATCTTCTTAAGTTATGCAAATTTCTTAAAAAATAATTTTAAAAATAAATTACAGAATTTTATATTGTATTTTATAATATATAATTTTGTAAAAAAATTAAAAAAAATAATTTGTACTTTTTTAAAATTATTTTAAAAAAAATAGTTTTATAATTTTCATAATTATCATTAAAAATAATAAACTAATTTTAATTATAATTCAAAATCAAAATTAAGTATTGGTCCCTAGACTAAAATATTAATTATCATATTATTCAAAGATATTTAATTTACCGATAATCATGAGACATGAAATCTTTAAGTATATCAGAGATTATAATCCTAACACTGTAAATATAATAAATTGGATTGAGAGAGTTATCCTATGATAAATCTATAAATTTATATTTAACGAATTAATTGATTAATAATTTAAAATTTTAATTATAAAATATAAAATATAATATTTTCGTTACATATTATTAATATATTATATTATCTTTTTATAAATAAAAGATTGTATTATCTTGTAAAATTAGTTACATAATATGAAGAAAAAAATGTCGTATAGAGGAAAGAAAACAGAGGAGCGGTTCGATTGGCAAAAATGACCCTAGGAAGAATCGACGGTTTGCACGAATCAAATGACCCAAACCGGTAGCAAAGAGATTGCTTTTCTCAGATGGTAGACCACTAAACGCGGTCGTTTTGCCCTATGTACCAAAAAAATATCATATAAAGTGTTAAAAAGTTACCTTTTTTTATATCTATGGCAAATGTTAGAACATATATCGAAAGATACCCGTATAACATGATGACTTCAAGAGTGCGTTTGGTTCACGGAATGTAAGATTATCGGTAGAAATAAGATTACCAGCGGGAATAAGATTACTAGGAATGTTGTATTTTGTGTTTGGTTCGTTTAGCAGGAAGATAAGATTACAATGTTTGGTTAAAAGAATAAAAAATTATTAGAATGTATATTTTACCAAATTGTCCTTGTTATATATTTTTAACAAGTTGAATTCTACTATAATTAATTTATATATTTTCTTTAAAAATTTTAAATTCATAAAATTTATATAATTTTTTTACAAAATTAAAAAGATAAATAAGTTTAATGAAAGGGTAAAATTTTATTTTAACCCCTAAACTTCATATAAAATTCTAATTATGGACTTTTTTTTAAATCTAAAATAGTTTAATGATAAATTTATAATTTAACCTTTGTAGATTTTTTTATTCAACTATAGAAGAATGATATTTTGAAGAAAAAAAATTAAAGACATTTTAATCCAAAACGTCGAGAATGTAACAATACCTAAAGAAATGAGGTAATCACATTCCCGATAATATACCCCCAAAATATCACTGTTGGAAGTAACTTACTACCGGGGGGTGAAAATATTTGTCAACCAAACGAGGAAATGATATTCCATTTCCCAGTAATATGAGATACCCTGAACCAAACGCCCCTAATAAGAAGTACAAATCATTTGACGAATCTAAAAAGATTATAACATTATCAGTTTTCAAATATGAAAGCATCTTAAAGAAGTTATCACGTCATCCAAACATATTCTCAAAATCAATGTATCATCCAAGTGTCTGTTAATATAATGTAACATTCACATTAATAAAAAAAATTAATTGTAATATCAAATTGGTCTAAATTAATTAAAGCGAAATCTTGAAGCTGAAGAGAAAAAATAACAATAATAATTGTAACAACGTCTTATATGAGATAATTTTATATTATAATCTTATTACATTAAGAGTGCGTTTGGTTGGAATGTAAGATTACCAGTGTGAATAAAAGATTACCAGGGAATAGGATTACTGGGAATGTTGCATTTTGTGTTTGGTTGGTTTAGCAGGAATATAATCTTATTGCATTTTGTAACAACGTCTTATATGAGATAATTTTATATTATAATCTTATTACATTAAGAGTGCGTTTGGTTGGAATGTAAGATTACCAGTGGGAATAAAAGATTACTAGGGAATAAGATTACTGAGAATGTTGCATTTTGTGTTTGGTTGGTTTAGCAGGAATGTAAGATTACCATGTTTGGTTAAAGGAATAAAAGATTATTGGAATGTATATTTGACCAAATTATCCTTATTATATATTTGTATAATATTACAAATTGTAAAATATTTATATATTTTCTTTAAAAAATTAAATTCATAATATTTATATATTTTTTTTACAAAATTAAAAATATAAAAAATGTTTAATGAAAGGATAAAAAAAATTTAACCCCTGAATTTCATATAAAATTTTAATTATAATTTTTTTTTTAAATCTAAAATAATTTAAGGATAAATTTGTAATTTAACATTCGTAGAATTTTTATTATTTAATGACATAAGAAGGATATATTTGAAAAAAAAATAAAAATTTAAGGGCATTTTAGTCCAAAACGGCGGTAATGTTACAATACCTAAGAGAAGGGAGGTAATGACATTCCCGGTAATATACCCTAAAAAATCTACTATTGGTAATAAAATATTACCGGAAATGAGATTCCCGGCCAACCAAACACGAGAATGTGGGATTCTCATCTCATAGGAATCTCATCCCATGAGAATCCCACAATCTTTAAACCGAACACCCCTAATGGTTGTATAGGTTATTATTAGTATTACGATATTTATTTTGAAAAAAAAAAACAATTACTATAGTTGAGTAAAAAGAAGGAGAAAGAAAATGTAGGGTTATATAATGTCCACGACACTTTTCAGCTTTCAGTCCCCTCTTGTCTGTGAGAGACATGCAATTCAGCCTTTATCAACTCAACACTGCCAATTTCTCGTGAAAATAAAAAAGTAGTAAAGTACATAAATGGTCCCCAGACTATAGGGTATTATTTTTTCAAGTCCTATAACAATTAAAAGTTACAAAATGATCCATTAACAATAAGATGTTGCTTTTTTAGTCAACTGACTATTAAAAGTTACAAAATAATCACCTAACTATTCATTATGTTTCAAACTTATCATTTTTTTCTTTAAAAAATAATGACAATTTGAGTTGGACGTTATCCTGTTGACTAATATTTGATATAATATTATCTCATAATCGCAATCGACTATCATATCACAATCAACATATTAACGTCCAGCTCAAATCGCTATCAATTTTAATAAAAAATGACGAGTTTGGAACATAATGAATAGTCTAGTGATCATTTTGTATCTTTTAATAGTCGAGGGACTCAACGAAGCAACACTCTATAGTCTAAAGACCATTTTGTAACTTTTAATAGTTGAAGGACTTAATAAAATAATATTTTATAATCGGAAGACAATTTGTGTACTTTACCCATAAAAAATACTTGGTGACTAACTATTATTTTGTTTTTGGGTAAAATATACAAATGGTCATTTGACTATTAGATATTATTTTATTAAGTTCTTCGACTATTAAAAGTTACAAAATGATAATCAAATGTTGCTTTATTAAATCTTTCAGATATTAAAAGTTACAAAATGATTATCTGACTATTCATTATGTTCCAAACTCATCCTTTTCCATTAAAAAGCGGTTGAGTTAATTAGATGTTAACTTGATGACTAGGATATGATAGTCATTTGAGATCTAAGATTAGATTTTATCATATCACAGTCAGTATATTAACTTTCAACTCAGAATACCGTCAATTTTTTAACGAAAAAGGATGAGTTTAGATCATAATAAATAGTTGGTGATCATTTTGTAACTTTTAATAGTCGATGGACTAAACAAATCAATACACTATAGTTAGAGGATCCTTTTATAAATTTTAATAGTTAAAAGACTTAATAAAAATTATGTTATAGTTAGGGGACCATATGTATACTTTACCCTTTGTTTTTGAAATCGTTCCAATCCTCTCTATCTCCATTAACGCTGCTTCCTGTTCCCTAACCTAGTACACACCTTTCTCTCTCCCCCCCCCCCCTTTTCCGTCTACCCCCTCTTTTTCTTTGATTTGTTTATGCAGAAAATCACTTCCCTAACACTGTCTCTCTCTCTCTCTCTCTCTCTCTCTCTCTCTCATCATTCTGTATAGAGAACTATGGGGTTGCTTCCTTCTCCTTCACTGCATGTTCTCTGATGGGATTTCTTTGAAATGTTCATCCTTTTCTGGGTTTTCAATCTCTGGGAAATTTGATGCTTTGATCATCACCAAGAAAGTTGCTGCCTTTATTCCCAAGCTCACTTCTTTTTGATACTTGGAGACACCAACCAAGAAAAAGTATGGTGATGTTATTTTGAGTCTCAAATAATGGGGTTTTTGTACTTGTCATTGTTGCTGGTTGGGGTTCTATCAAAACCCTTTCTTCTTGATGCTCAGCTCCAGCTGATCAATGACCAAGCCACATTGTCATCCATTAGAGAGGAGCTTGGTGTTGTATCTGGTTGGGGTGAAAACGGCACTGATTACTGCAGCTGGGAGGGGATTCATTGTGGCTTGAACCATTCATTTGTTGAAAGGCTTGATCTTTCTAGGCGTATGCTTAGAGGTAACGTGACCCTAATCTCTAATCTTAAGGCCTTGAAGCATCTTGATCTTTCTTACAATAACTTCAATGGACCCATCCCTTCAGCTTTTGGGAACTTATCTGAGCTTGAGTATCTGGATTTGTCATTGAATAAGTTTGAAGGTTCCATTCCCTTGGAGTTAGCTGGTCTTGTAAATCTTAGATCTTTGAACCTGTCAAACAACTTGCTGGTAGGACAGATACCCCTAGCATTTAGGGTGCTTGAGAAGTTGGAGGACATTCAGGTTTCTAGCAATAGATTGAGTGGTTCTATCCCACATTGGGTGGGGCAGCTGACCAATTTGAGAGTCTTTACAGCCTATGAGAACAATTTAGGTGGTGAGATTCCTGATAATCTAGGCTTGGTTTCTGAACTCAGATTGCTGAACCTTCATTCGAACCGGTTCGATGGGCCGATACCTAAGAGCGTTTTCGCCATGGGGAAGCTGGAAGTTTTGGTTCTCACCCAGACTGGACTCACTGGTGATCTTCCTGAAGCAATTGGTAACTGCAGGGGCCTTTCCAGTATTCGAATAGGGAATAACAAACTCGTCGGTGTCGTTCCCAGGACGATCGGGAATGTTAGTAGCCTCACCTATTTTGAAGCGGATAACAACAATCTCTCCGGTGAAATCGTATCGGAGTTTGCTCTGTGTACTAACCTTACACTCCTTAATTTGGCCTATAATGGGTTCACTGGTGAAATCCCTCCGGAGATCGGACAACTTGCGAATCTTCAAGAGCTTATTCTTTCTGGGAACACTCTGTTTGGAGATATCCCAAGATCAATTATCGGGTGCAAGAATCTTAACAAGCTCGATTTAAGCAACAACGGATTTAACGGTACTATACCAAACAAAATTTGCAATATGAAAAAATTGCAGTACTTGCTCTTGGGACAGAATTCGATCGAAGGAGAAATACCCAGTGACATCGGAAATTGTGTGAAACTGCTTGAGTTGCAGCTTGGAAGCAACTATTTAACCGGAAGTATACCTCCTGAGATTGGTCATATTCGAAACTTGCAGATAGCTTTAAATTTGAGCTTCAATCATCTTCATGGTGAACTGCCCCGGGAATTAGGGAAACTAGACAAGTTGGTTTCTCTTGATGTCTCCAGTAACCAGCTTTCCAGTGATATTCCGCCAGAATTTAAGGGTATGTTGAGCTTGATAGAGGTCAATTTCTCTAATAATCTGCTTGCTGGCCCGATACCGACGTTTGTACCGTTCCAAAAGAGTACAAATTCTAGCTTTCAAGGAAACAAAGGGCTCTGTGGGGAGCCATTGAGTTTCTTATGTGCAGACTCTATCGGTTCCGACCAGGCAAACTACCACAGGGTATCTTACAGGATTATACTGGCGGTTATCGGTTCTGGTCTTGTGGTGTTCATATCGGTCACAATAGTGGTTTTGCTCTTTATGATGAGGGAGAGACAAGAGAAGGCATCAAAAAGTGTAGACATAATAGACAAAGCAACCAGTAGCCGACCGACGATAATAGCAGGGAACGTGTTTGTTGAGAATCTCAGGCAGGCGGTAGATCTCGATGCTGTAATCAAAGCCACTTTAAAGGACTCAAATAAAATCAACAACGGGACTTTCAGCGTCATTTACAAGGCGGTCATGCCTTCGGGACTGGTTTTGTCGGTGAAGAGACTGAAATCAATGGACAGAACCATAATTCATCACCAAAACAAGATGATCAGGGAGCTCGAAAGACTAAGCAAGCTCTATCACGATAATCTGGTTCGACCTATCGGTTTCGTCATCTATGAAGATGTTGCTCTTCTGCTGCATCAATATTTACCCAATGGCACACTAGCTCAACTCCTTCACGAGTCCTCAAAGCTGCCGGAGTATCAGCCTGACTGGCCCCGAAGACTATCGATCGCTGTTGGAGTAGCTGAAGGATTGGCTTTCCTTCATCACGTGGCGGTTATCCACCTCGATATCTCTTCAGGTAATGTACTTTTAGACGCAAACTTCAAGCCGTTGCTCGGAGAGATCGAAATATCAAAGCTCTTAGATCCATCCAAAGGTACTGCAAGTATTAGTGCTGTTGCAGGCTCCTTTGGCTACATCCCTCCAGGTAATCACCATAACTCACCCGTATCATACGGTTTAAAACTACCATAACTCACAGTTCTGCATGATCTTACAGAATATGCCTACACAATGCAAGTCACTGCACCAGGAAACGTATACAGCTACGGTGTCATGTTGCTCGAGATACTCACCAGCCGGTTACCCGTCGACGAGGATTTCGGTGAAGGAGTAGACTTGGTGAAATGGGTTCACGGTGCTCCGGCGAGAGGCGAAACCCCGGAACAGATCCTCGACGCGAAGCTAAGCACCGTATCGTTCTGTTGGAGGAGAGAAATGCTGGCTGCTCTGAAGGTGGCTCTACTCTGCACGGACAGTACGCCGGCGAAACGACCGAAGATGAAGAAGGTGGTGGAGATGCTTCAAGAAATAAGGCAAAACTGATCAACAACCTGATTCAATTTGGAATCTTTAAGAGTAAAAACACGTAATATCCAGGAGAATCAAAAGCATTCGATTTCCCAATGTGTTACTATGATTTTTGGTCCTCAATCTAGAACCTTTTTTTTAAATTGGTCATTAAACTTTTGAATAATTTGATCCCCAAACTGTGACTCTCAATCTAAATAAGTCTTTAAACTTTTGAATATTCTATTTCATACCTACACTTTGACAATCTTTCAAATTTGGTCCCCAAACTTTTGAATATTTCAATTTCACCCTCAAATTCATTCAAATATGTAATTAGTTTCATCATAGTTTAACATAAAATTTGTTTCCCCTCCAAGCATATGATAATATAACTTAGAGTAATGATTTTATTAACAAAGGGTGTGATTAGTATATGTATTTAGTTTGGGATGAAATTGAAATGTTCAAAAAGTTTGGAGACTATTTTGGAATGAAGGTCATAGTTTGGAAATGAAATTGAAATATTCAAAAGTTTGATGACTAATTTAGAATTATTAACATAATTTAAGGATGAAATTGAAATATTTAAAAGATTAGAGATCAATTTGTAATAAAGGTCATACTTTGAGGATAAGTGATACGACTAACTCATTAATTAATTAGATTTGAATTTGAATATAATTACACGCATATAACTATATACGTACCATATATCCGAGTATGCTCAAATAATCATTATAATTGATCTATACTATTCATTTTTTCGAATAGTCTGAAGTGATTATAAGATAATATTTATTCATAATATTTTTTAACTATTACGACACATACCTTATAGATGCAACTTTTCAAACCCAAAACATCGAAAAAACAAAATTCACTAAATTCACTTAATGAGTTCAATGCTATTAAAATAAGTGTTCGCTTGTTTCACTGAAAATGTCTTATAGAAAATTTTTTCCGTAAAATGAATTGCATTTTTTAGAAAACATTTTACGTTGTTTAGGAGATGTTCTGTAAAACATTTTCTACTAGTTGATGAATTTTTTAAAATTATTTATTATAAATATTGAGTACAATAAATAATATTATTTATCATAAAAACTTAACATTATTAATTTTAAAATATTAGAATAATTTATTTATTTATTATTAAAATAATATTTCTACAATTTTATTAATAAAAATATTTAGATTAGCACATTTTATTGAAATAAAAATATTCATAAATTATATTAATTATGTATTAAAGTTTATTTTAAAAAGTATTAGTTAATATATCTTAATTATCTTTATTAAAATGTTATTAGATTATTATATTAAATATATAAATAATATTGTTTATTATTAATAATTTAATAATACTATTTCTATGAAATTAATAAATAATATAAATTTTATTAATAATTATTATATATTATTAAAATATAATATAATATCTTATATTATATTATTATAATATAATTGAGTTTATTAAAATAATATTTAAAATATATAATAATAAATTATTAGAAATATTACTAAATATATTTTAACTATTTTAATAATTAATATTTTAATTAAAATGATCTTAAAATATTATATTAATATTAAATTCATAAAATAAAATTATTTTCGGTATTTATTCTTTGAAGTGAAAAATTTAGAAAATAATTTATAGAAAATCGAACCCTAAGTCATTTTACAAAAAAATAAAAAAAAATTATATTGATCAGGAAAATATTTTATGTTGATCAACCATCCAATTACTGGAAAATGGTAAAACATTTTTCATAAAATGTTTTACTTTAAACAAACATATACTAAGTGTAAAAATATTTCAATTACAATTTTTAACCGGTTCGCAATTTAGGACATAATTGACCATTGATTTAAAAAATATTAATAAATAAAATGGGTAAAGTACCCAAATAGTCCTTTGATTATAGGGTACTATTTTGTTGAGTTCATCGATTATTAAAAGTTATAAAATGATCATTCAATTATAGGGAGTTGCTTTGTTGACTATACGGTTTTGATTTGTTGAGTCACTCAACTATTAAAAGTTACAAAATGATCAATTGACTATTCATATGTTCCAAGCTTATCATTTTCCGTTAAAAATTGACAGTTGTCTTAGTTGGACGGTAACATGCTAACTAAGATATGATAGTCGTTTGAGATTTTTAGATTAATTTTTATCATATCTTAGTCACCAGTTAATGTCCAACTCAGACTGTCGTCATTTTTTTAATGAAAAATGATGAGTTTAGAACATATAAATAGTTAGGAGACAATTTTGTTACTTTTAATAATCAAGGGACTCAACAAAGTAACACTTTATATTCGATAAACTATTTTATAAATGTTAATAGTTGAAAGACTCAATAAAATAACACCCTATAGTTAGGTGGTCATTTATGAATTTTACTTGATAAAAAAATATCTAATGACATTAATGTTGCACCCAACAAAACCAAGTCAGTTTGGTGTTAAAAGAATTATTTAGACTTAAATTAAACAATTTCGATAATAAAAGAATTATTGTTATTCTTTGAGGCATCGGCTTCAAGTACTAAAAATATTATGAATATAAGCGTTTAATGTCATATGATTAAGTTATTTTTGACCAAATAATATCTTATACTTATTTTATATTAATTAAAAAATCTATTTAGTAGGAATGTTAATTCAATTAAATTTACAATATAATAAATTTTTGGGTAAACTACGCATTTATTACCTAAACTATCAGTTGTTGTCAATTTTGGTATATAAACTTTTAAATTTTTTTTCCAGAATCATACCTAACGTTTAGTTTCATTTCATTTTAGAACCGGTCGTTAAAAACTTAATGTGTTTAGTACCTGAGCTATCGGTTTTGGTCTATTTTAGTACCTAAACTTTCAATTTTTTTAAAACCGAATGTTGAATTTTGAACGGGATACTAAAATAAAACAAAAGCTAAAATTTTTAATGACAGAGTACTAAAATGAAACAAATATTAAATTTTATATATAATTTAAAAAAATTAAAATATTAAAATATTTCAAAACTGAGTAAAAGAGATTTATTAGTTTTAGAATAAGCAATGGCCCTTAAAATCGAATGGCTGAAATCACAGCGCAGCTTCGTCTCTCTTCCACATCTTCTTCATTTTTCATCAACGGCGGAGGAGGAGGAGTCCGACGCTCCCTCTCCGCCGTATTATCTTCCATGCCCCCTACTAAACTTGCCAACCCTAAGTCCACTTCGTTTACTCCTTGCAGAGCTTCATGGCAGGAGGTGTCTCGCCGTTCTTCTTTTTCGATTTTCAATTTGTTTGGATTTGTTCTTATCGAAATACATAATATTAGGTTATGCTTGTTTTCAGCTGGCGGGAGTGTTGGTGTTTTCGGCGATTCCTTTCACGGCGGTCAAAGCCATCGCTAATAGCCCTCTAGGCCACTCCCTGCGAAAGCAATTGTTGAAGAGGAAGAAAGAAGCTCGTGATAATTCCTCAAGGTTCCAGGCTTTAGCTCGGAAAGCAAGAAATGAGAGGTAATATTCTGCTTTCTTACAAATAAGCCTTTCGTCATAGGGTAAACTAAACATTTAGTACCTAAGCTATTAATCTAAACCTTTAGTACCTAACCTTTCTTACAAATAAGTCTTTCAATTTTTTTAGAATTATATCTCGTGTGTAGTTTTCACTTTATTTTAATACCTGCCGTAAAAGAAATGAAGTCGTTTAGTATTTTAACTATTAATTTTGGTCGGTTTTAATATCTAAATTTTTAATTTTTTTCGAAATTTAATGTTAAATTTTGAACGAATACTAAAATGAAACTAAAGTTAAAGTTTTTAACGGCAATGTATTAAAATGAAACAAAAACTAAAGTTTTTAATTGGGTTAAAATGAAACAAAAATTAAACTTTAGGTATGATTTTGAAAAAAAATAAAAATTTAGGTATTAAAATGGATTAAAATTAATAATTTAGATACTAAATGTGTAATTTACCCTTGAATCATATGATTATGTGGTCTGGCCGTGCGAGCTTTAAATTAAATTAAAAAATCTACGCACAAAACATGTAGATAAAGGAGGGGATAAGGATATATAAGTTTATGTACTAATGTGGACCTAAAAAGATTAGGTGCACATGTAGGGAAAATGTAGTAGTTTAGGCTAAAATGTGACTTACTCCTTGTATGGTATAATGTTCAATTATAGGGTAAGTTCTTGTTTAGTATTTAAATTATCAGTTTTGGTCTATTTTAGTATTTAAATTTTTAACTTTTTCAAAATCGTACCTAGCATCTAGTTTTTGTTTCGTTTTAGTACAACGTCGTTAAAAATTTAATGGGTGGTTCGAACGTGACAACTTTTTTATGAGTAAATTACATTAGTCATCACTCAAACATCTTTTCATTCCTATTTTAATCACTAAAGTTTAGTTTTTTTAACTTAATTACTTAACTCTCAAATCACTCTAACTTTCAAATTTATTTTTTATTTTTAATTATATATTAATAAAATAAAAATAATAAAATGCCATCTCACCAAAATTATTAATAAATTAAATTACGGTGATTAAAATAGAAGCAATTTGATAGTTGAGTAGTTAAATTGAAATTTCTTATAGCTACTCGTATAAATGTATATATATCGTTGAAATAAGATTTTAAATTGATAAAACATTATTAATGACTTTACTTTATGATAACAGTCTTCTATCATAAAGCTTTAATCCCATATCCAAATTTTAGATTTTTACTATTCATAGGAAGAATGGAATTTTGAGCGTTTTAGTCATTAAATTGTTGGGATTTGAGATTTTAATTTTTTTTATTAAAAACTATATTTTTATTTTCCATTTTTAAATTTTTAATATATTTTTACAAGTTTTAAAGATTTTTTATTGACACGTGGTATAATTTTATGCTATCACGCCATCAAAAGGTAACTTATTAATAAAAATATAAAACAATAGACGGAATTAAAGTTGAAGCGTCAACTTGGAAATAAAAACAAAATTATGTACTCATTTGAGAGAAAAATTATATTATCAGCTTTGGAGTAAAAGTTCTTTAATTTCCAACTTTAAGATGAGTGTCCACTCGATGTACCAAATATGTATTTAAATCTAGGGTAAACTACGCATTTAGTTTTCATTTCATTTCAATATTTGACTGTTAAATTATCAGTTTTGGTCTGTTTTAGTAC